GGTGGAAGGGTTTTCCCTTGAGGGGTTTTGCCCGGTTGCCGGGTTTCCCCTCCATATGTTACCATGTTGGTATTTTCTGATGTATCCTGGGGCGTTCTTGCCCAATTGATGGTTAGTCACTTGCGTGAAGAACCAGGGAGGGTGTTCGTGAGTCTGCGAACATTGCTGTTGGATACATGTGCTGGATGATTTTGTGTCACGCAGACTGGTAAGATAACCGTTTGATAGGGGGCACCGCGATGATTCACGGGGCCCCTCCTTGCTGTGGGAGCCGCTCATTGAGCACTCCCTCTTTCGTCCGTGTGAAGGACGGTCGTCTACCTCCCGTGAAGTTAATACATCAACAAAACAGTCTCACCCGATAAATAAGTGGCGTAGGCCGCAAACACCGGTAGCAACAAAGGACGAAGCCGACGCTCATTTGTCGTCTTGGGTGAGCACTGAACCAATTCCAGCCACCCGCTCGTCAAAGAAAGTCGAGACGCCCTCCAGCTGCTCCCGTAGCCGTGTACTGGCTCCAACGCTCCGGGCGCGCATTCTGTGAGTTGATGTGTGAGAGGACACGCGCGTTGAAAAAACTGACGCTATGGGTTCATCGCTAGTCTTTGTTGAGGTATGTATGACATCAGACTCAAGATCTCAAGATACATAGAGGTGGGCTCGTTTTGCACATTGGTATCTGATAGGTTGCATACTGGTCGCCCCGGTGGTCTAGTCTAGTTGGTATCCTCGAAGCCTACAGGTCAGGTGAGGGGTTCGAATCCCGGCGTAAGCGAGCTTTTCTTGCAAAGTGAGTTTTTCTCTCGCTTCCGCTCCTGGCCTAGTGGATAGCGATAGTTCGTGTGTACACAGAGGGAAGAGAGTGCTGAACTCTTCTCGCGTTAAAAATCGAAGGCAGAGTACGCAGAAGTGGAGGGTAGAGAGGGGCTCTTCTGTGTGACCACGGGTTGGAGTAAACGGCACTAGTAGTGCCGTGCGCGCTGATTTGAAATGAAGACAAAAAAAAAAATACTGTACAGAATTTTGACTTCGAAACAGCCTTGCTTCGCCTGAAAGCATATCATACCAACAGCATTGGAGACGGTTTCCCGAGCTGGCTCGTTTTCTGCCGGTACGAACTCGTCATGGTTTCAAACGTGATGGACTGCTGATCGACCAATTCCCACCACGCCCAAATAGGTTGGGATCAGTAGTACATACATAGTGCAGACAATGACGATGATGATGGCAATGACGGCAATTCATGTGGTAGCGACGGAACAGGAGGACAAGGAACGACCAATCCTGCAAAGGAGAAAGGAAGCATGGAGTGGAAAAAAGCAAGAGCTTCGAACCAGATGACCTTCCCCATAACAATCGACGCAGGGCTAGAGAAGAGCGGCCGAAAAATAGCTGTCAAAATGACGATGAGAGTGATGGTGGTAAAAGCAAGGAGGATGATGGCGAAAGCACTTCAAGTCAAACTCGAGAGCAGCTAGCAGCCTTGGTAACTCGAGTGCAGCTAGCAGCCTCGGTAGACGCGTGAATCTTCTGTTGCTACCGTCTCTGTCTTTGATCCGGAGAAAAGCTTGACCTCCCCTAAGCCACCCCCTCAAGAAAGGTGCGAGTTCATGGCATATAAAAGTGTTTAATGTTGCCATTGGTCAACCGGTTAGCGCGGTCGATCCTAATAATAGAAAGACATAGCAGAAAAGTTCAATGTCATCTCCGCTGAACAAACAGCAGGTGCCGCTGGGCTTCACACCCAGAAATAAATACCATCATTATTGTTCCAATCGTGAATCTGGAGTTACTGTATAGACTCTAATGTGTACACCGAAGACTTCATACCACCCGAGCGCACTACTACTTTCTCCGGGTCTCTCGCGTTACTCGCCCTACCTGCAATCAATCCCACAGTACACCTTACCCCGTGCTGCATACCCGTGTGCACGTACCCTTACTCCCCGGCCCTTTACTTTACACTCTCACCGCCGCCGCCACCTTAGTATTATCTCCCCCGCCACCTTTCAACACACAACCGCGATGACGAAACCTGATTACACAACAACCCGAAGGGAAAACAGCCAGAGGAGAAATACGTCTTCAACAACTCTCTCGCAACTAATTAATTAATGTGTCACCAAGGGTGTGCAACAAAGTTGTTTTTTGCACACCTAGGTACTCACTTTCTTATTCCGGAGGATTTTTTTGGGGGGGGAGGGTACGAAGTGACCCCCCCCCCCCC